ATTTTTTATCAGCTTATCCTTAAAGAATAATACAATAATACAATTCAGCATGCACTGAATCTGCAGGTTTACTTTTACAACAGAGGAAATAGCCTTTAGATCAAGGTAACAATCACATCAAATTGTACCAAATAATTTTAATTATCCGTATTATTTTACACATTAAAATAACCCCCCCCCAAAAAAAACCCTACTTACAATCCATAAAAGAAGATTCAAATTTTCATTTCAGAAGGGAAGAGGGAAAGTAACCAAACCTATTCTATACATTCATGTACACTACTTCTTACACTATACACATATATTCCTCGGTCTCCCAAATTGTATTTGACTTACACTAATCAAAAACCAACATAAAAATTACTAAGGAATAGGGCCTCCCTGGTGGCGCAGCGGTTGAGCGCTGGGTTGCGAGGCTGCCCGCAGCCTCTGCAGCACCAGTTCGATCCCCGGCCACCGGTGAGGGTCCCACAAAAAAAAAAAAAAAAAAAATTACTAAGGAATAAACTCAGATGGATTTTAACCAAAATCAATATTGAGTACAACACCTGGGAACAGATAAATCTGAAATAAACTGCTTGTACATGTAAATTCAATCTTGTATCTTCAGACCACTAATATGTAATTACTGAAAAGCAGTTTGTCTGCTGTTTGACCATATTTATATATACACCTCATTCTTTAAAAAAGAGCTTGAATTGGGTTTAGATGACAAAAAAATTGGTAAATTAAATGATTCTTCTCCATGCTGCTTGTAGCTATAATTATTTTTATTCTTCAACCAACAAATATTATAAAATGAAAAGAGCATACATATGAAATTTTTTTAAAACTTAAATGAGCACAGAATCTTATAAAGAAGAATAGTGTATCACACACCCACAAAGGACAAAAACAGAAGCAAAATGAACCTCAAAGAATCTGAGAACTTAACGGCTTCCAAGTTTTTTACATTTTCTACTTACCAATTTATCATTTTCATTAGGCATTTCAAACACACATCTCAATTAGAATCCATTAATTCATCAGGTTTTGCCTCTTTCCACTGCAAGCAAACAAAACCAAACATGAGACAAAGGAGGGATGATCATGACCAAAATAAGGGACAACCTAAAAGGCTAGCAAAATTACTTAGAGTAGTGTTGAAAGCTATGGCTCAGCACAGGCACATTGCTGCACTCACTCTTCAGTATGCAAGGATTATATGGAAAAGTCAGAGAATTTTTTATAAAATCCTAAGAGATACTATCACTATCCACTAACATGTCTGAAGATTACAGGACTTTCTTTTAGGTAGAAGCATTTCTACATTATTTCTAAGAAAAGTCAAAATTATCTGTAATGAATTTATTTTTATTTTAAAAATTAGATTCCTCAATTAAGAACTAAACAAAAACACAGTTTAAACAACATTTCCAAAAATAAATACTATTCAACTTCTATACTTACCACAGCTTCCATATCGGAAGTGTTTGGTGGAGCAAAAATTGTCTGTACCATAAACTTGTGTTTACTCTTTTCATTGGGATCATAGTCAAAGGCTGTAGCATTACTAAATAAGAAGAAAGGACAACAGGTTACACTGTCTTCTTTTTGTTGCTTATTATTTCTATTATTCATTCACTATTATGCAAAATTAAAGAAAATCACAAAAGGTTTAAGAAATCATACCATGGATTATATTAAGGACCTACAATAAACTTTATGGTTTCCAATACTTTTTTAAGTTGTCTGCCTTTCTGATTGCTAAGAAAGTAAACAAATGGCTATCAAAAAGTAAATTTAACTTCATGATTGTCTCTAAATTCAAGGAAATTTTCAAAACATTGTTAAGATTAATTATTAGTAATACCTGTAAGTTTGATTTTAAATCTACCAAACTGTCTATTAAAACTAGTTATAAGTTTAAGCTTTAATATTTAGTTATACCTTAAATTAGACAACTGGAGTATTTAAAGGAAAAATCCTAAGTGACTTAAAAATTCAACACCCATATATACTGTTCTAATACAACTAATTTTTCCAAGATTGTAAATAAGCACCCCAGTCAAGAAGAGTTTTTTTATCAATTTATTTAAAATCTGATTCTCATATGCTATAAAGAAATAGCCTCAAGATTTCTCTAATTTTTCTCACATTCTAATAGTTATCTTCAATTTTTTTCCTAGGCATTTATGATTTTTAGTTGTCTGTAAGAGGTTAACAGAGGTTAATGTGATTGTAAGTCATGCTAAATTATATAAAACTAACAAGACTGAATAAAGAATGAATCAGCAATTAATTATACAAAGTGTGTATATATTGCAGAAATTATTCCCCTACTATTTAGATTTCTAAGGTTTACATAGATAAATACATATGTGCATCAAAAAGACAAATGCAATTAAGCAAACATGAGAAATATAAGAAAATCTTATTTCTAAGTTATGTCTGAGAAATCCCTCAGCTCCCATGATGTTAAAAAAAAAATTTCAAGGAGCAAATACACAACAAAAGAAAATACAAAAGCTAAATGTCTCAGAATCCAGATAAAGCACAATAAATTTCCAGGTACTCTGTTCACAGAGCAATCATGGTAGGCTAATCACTAGGAACTATATAAAAATAAATTTTGAAAATCACGATTTTCTGACAGTTATATGATCATATAACAAGAGGAAGATAATCTTAACATATATATAAGCATAAATTTAAAGATCAAATCCACAAAAGTAAGTACCATAAGGGGAAAAAAAATGAGCATCAGTAAAGATAGTCAATCAAGGAAAGTTGCTAAAAAGTGCAATTTGAGTGGCTTTTTAATATGGAAAGGTGCCATACTAACAGTAGAAGAGCTTAAGTTTTAACTGGAGGAAAGGAATCTGAAAGCATGCTGTGAAAAAGGTAACCACTGTCTGGAGTTTTTAATAAGTACTCAATACAAGGGATTATATGGGAGAAATGCTTTGAAAAGTATAATTTTCTTGAGAAACATTAATGCAACCTAGAAACCTCAAAATAAGTCATTCTGAATCCAGTCATTCTGAATGGATTCCTATGGCTATAACTGTACCAAAAACATTTTAACTATGTAGATAGAAACAATTCTATCTTCTTCCAATCTAAAGGCTTAACGTTCTAGACAGCAACTTACAGAATACATGTACTACTCATTGCTTAATCTTACTTCAATATTCAGAATGCATGGATACACTGCTTTTATCTTCTTATTTCCCATTCATCTTTCCCATGAACTGAAAACTTGGACACAAGAGAAAGCATTCCTCTCAGACCACTATGCCATTAAGATTTACTAAAAACATCTTGTATGGGGTTTCCTAGCTCTGAGTTTTGGGCTATGCCCACTAAGGAAAAATTTAGTGTTACCAAGAACTCTGACTATGGCTGTCCTTTACTGTCAGGTTCTATAACTCTAAATATTCCCCTCCCTATGGACCTGCTCTAGACTCTCACTCATTGTATAATTTGCTATTTTTAATCTGCTGCAAGCTTTAAACCAGAAACATGATACAGAATTACTATAATATCTTAGGAATACTTATTAGGATCACCCAGGCATGTCTTGATTTTTTTAATTGTACACATGTCTACGTGACAGACCCTGACATTCTGATCTGGGAGGCCATGTGTGCTCCTGCTCCCCATTTTAGTGCCACATACAAGAGGTGAGAATTACTTCTATAAAGAGGAAATGGTCTCCATGTGAGACTTAAGAGATTACCATAACTAAAATGTTTTCATGAATGTTTCTTATTTCTCAGCTATGTTGGATAGCATCATTAGAAGAATATTAACTTGGAGAATCTGAAGAAAGAAAGGAACCATTTACAAAGAGTGTTAATTATGGCACCAACACAGACTACATACAGGAGTGAACAATCCATCTGTGGAAGACACCAAGATACCCCTTGAACAACAAGGTGAAAAAAAAAAAGGAATAATAATAATTAAGTCATCAAATATAGGACACTGTTGGTATTTACAGTGAAAGGCAGAAAGACATCAAAAAAGGGAGGACCTGAACATTTTAAGCAAAAGATATAGAATTCCATAACTAAGCAATATGTAGTAACAGATCTCAATGAGAATGATCAAAAAATGATGTAGTATTCCAAAGATTAAAAAAATATGGGCCATGAATGAATGTATCAGGGAATCGTAGAAATGAAGGTCACGAAATTTTTAATTGACAAATGCTTATGAATTGACCACATACACTCCATCACAGGGGTGAGAAATTCTCTGCAAGAATCTGCATATAGTAAGATATCAGAAGGATACCATTAAAGGTAAAGCCAGAGTAAT